AGGAAAACAATAGAATTGGCTGATGTGTGTTTGGTCTGCACCCCTGGGCCATTTAGTTATGGCCCTGAGGAGGAAAGTAGGGCTTTCTGGAACATACTTGTGGGTGGGGGTTTCTAGTCTCAGAGAAGGAGACAGCAGATTGTGTAGCTCCCCCTGCATGGCCTCCAAGCCCACTCCGACCCATCAGAGGAGCAGGTGTCCTTTAGGGCACTGATACTTTGCATTGCAGGCTGGGAATTTACATGCAGGGCTGCAAGTCAGTGTTGCTGTTTATTTCACGCGCTCCCTGGGTGCTGTTGAAGAGAAGAGTATTACCGTGCAAGTAATGCTCTTATGACTTAAGGCATACAGCTTAGTAGTCCAAGGAGAACAGGAATAAAAGACAGTTATGTTCAGGCTTCAACAGGAGCGTTGCAGCGGTCACAGCTCATGATTGCCTATTTGAGTGATTTAACAGAATACGGGGGTGTGTCCTTGGTTGGCCCTGATCCATGAGTTTGCAGTCACTTTTGTGTTGTGCTTCCAAGACTTGCTCTCTTCTCAACATTGGTGACCGTTAGTCCCTGAAAAGGACATCACTCTCTCTGTAGCAGGAGTTTGGCATTCTTGCCTTGCTATCTATCTGCCCAGCCTTATTCCCATTCTTTGATTTTATTTTCTCCCATGTCTCTAACTCATATGTATCATTTAAGGCCAGGCTCAAGAGCCTTGTCTACCATGTTCATTTCCCTAATATGCTGGTCTTCCTTATTTTAGAGCTCATCCAAATAGTTCCATTAGTTTACCAGAGCTGTTCTAACAGAGTACCACAGACTGGGTGGTTTACACAACAGACATCTATTCCTTCACAATTCTGCAAGCTGAAAGCCCAAGAACAAGACACTGGCAGGTTTGATTTCTCCTGAGTCCTCGCTTCTTGCCTTGTAGATGGCTGCTTTCTCTCTGTCTTTCCTCTGTGTGCACAAATTCCTAGTGTCTCTTTGTGTGTCCAGATTTCTATTTCTTACAAGGATACCAGTCATTTTAGCTTGAATCCACCCCTTGGCCCTATTTTAAGGTAATCACCTCTTTAAAGGCACTACTTCTTTAGCTAAATTGTGAGGTATGAAGGAGGAGGCTTTAGGGCTTCTACATTTCAGTTTTGGGAAGATACAATACAATCCATGACACCGGAGGAGACAGGGCAAACAAAACATATGTGATCTTTGTCCCTTTGTTGTTTGACAGCCTGGTAAGGAAGGCAGGTATTAAACCAGCACTTACAGTTTACATGAATGGATCACTTGTTACTATTGTGGGATGGACCAAGAGGTAGCACAGATAGCACTTGAAAAGGTGGACTGGTGTTGGGCGATTTGTTAGAAAAGACTGCCCTGAGGAAGTCAGATCCGAAGAAGGGATGGATGGGAATCATTCAGGTAAAGAGGGAGGGTCCTGTTTTCCAGAGATCAGCAGCGTGAATTCCAGGCCATGAGAAGGAATGTGACATATTTAAGAAATAAGACACCTGTGGGGCCGGCACCGCGGCTCACTAGGCTAATCCTCTGCCTTGCGGCGCTGGCACACCGGGTTCTAGTCCCAGTCAGGGCGCCGGATTCTGTCCCGGTTGCCCCTCTTCCAGGCCAGCTCCCTGCTGTGGCCAGGGAGTGCAGTGGAGGATGGCCCAAGTGCTTGGGCCCTGCACCCCATGGGAGACCAGGAGAAGCACCTGGCTCCTGCCTTCGGATCAGCGTAGTGTGCCGGCCGCAGCGCGCCAGCCATGGCGGCCATTGGAGGGTGAACCAACGGCAAAGGAAGACCTTTCTCTCTGTCTCTCTCTCTCTCACTGTCCACTCTGCCTGTCAAAAAATAAATAAATAAATAAAAAATAAAAAAGCTGAAAAAAACCCACTCAAATGCTACTCCCAAGTGTGAATTAATGCCATCAGGGGTTATAATCTAAGATTTCATATATAAAAAAAGACACCTGTGATAACCAGGAGAGATGGGAGAAGGTCCCAGAAGGTCAGAAGGGTCCGATTCCATAGGACTTTATGTCCTGGCATCCATTTCAGTGTTCACTGCATCATGACTCAGATTGTCTTCAAACACGTTTTATGGGGGAGAGGTGACATGCATGTTTCCCTTATGATCCTTCAGGGAGGAGAACCTATCTTCCAACTCCTTTTGTATTCTCTTTCTATGGTCTGCAGCATGGGGCTGGGCATCAAGTAGGTGCTCAATAAATGGATCAAGTGGGTGTGAAAAATGAGGTGACTAGAAGCCCTTTTATTTGTCTTGGTGGGCATGATTGTCCTGGAGGTACTGAAAGGGAGGACTTTTGGTAGTATGATGCCACCTAGTGATGCTTTTACTTACGACAACACAGGGAGCAGGGTGATGACTGAATAGTCTTCCAGAAACTGGAGACTTAGAAATCAAACAATTTGTTTCATCTGCATAAATGGGTTTGCCCAATCACTCATCCTTTCATCCTTTCTTTGATCCATATTGGTGCCCACCTGCATCCCTTCCTGTGAGTTGAATGTGTCACGTGGCTTCTCAGCCTTGAGGATCCCTGCTTGTCTATGTTCAGGTCTTTCTTTCCCTATATTGTAAGTACTGCTCTCAATATCAGTATCTAGATTGCATGAGTCCCCACAGTACTTTCTATGGACATGGAATGTACTAAATGATTCCATCATATTTTGAGAGATAATTGTAATTTCTGTCTTTCTCCCAATGCCAGAATGTGAATGCAGAGGACAGTGACTCTGCCTTCATCACCTTGGTGGTTCCTGTGGTCAGCCTTGAGCCTGTTGGTAGGGAACCTTGCAGAACATCGGCTTATGACCCTTTAGGAGATTCCTAGAACTCATGGAGATGCATAGCCCAATACGTTATGCTATACGAGAGATGGGTGACGGGGCCCCCTAGGTCTTTTTCTGTTGTTAGAGACCTTCAGGAAGGTTGTGGAGTCTCTCTGGGTCATGGTGACTCCAGAAACTGATGTTTCCAGGGTGTGATCAGATTTCCTGTAAACACTCAGAGCAGCCCAAGTTATATTGCTTGCTTATCTCTACCATGTTTCTATGAATGTGGCTCATCATTTGGTTCATCTCACCCCTCTGGTTCATCCGCCACATTTCTGACTACCTCCATGCTCCATTACAACTCAGCCACATTTTCTTGGTTTGCCTACTGGATACACAGTCTTGGATCATGGATGAGATGTCATTGTATAGATGTCCATTTTCTTAAATAATCAGTGCAATGCACTTTCAATGAAATTTTTCCATGAGGAACTTGAGAAACATTTTTAAAGTTATTTGGGAGCATTATAGTTCACGAAGAGCCAAACAATTTTGGCATAGTAGAAGGTGGTGGTTGGGGGGTAGGGAGGAAACTTGCCTTTCAATCAGAGTGACTTGACTACAAAATTACAGTAATAATGTTGTGGTACTGGCACAGAAACAAGTTAGAGAGCTAAGAAATACCCGTTTACATTTGGCACCTTTCCCAAACCATTTAGGAAAAATGGATTGTTTAATATAGGATGCTGGAAAAATAGCTCACTCCTTGGACAGCAATGCAATAGGATCCCTATCTCACACCATATATAAAGGTGCGAATCCAGATGGACTGGAGAACAGAATATGAAAAAGTAAAACTATAAAGCTAAAAGAAAAAAATGATGGAGAATATTTTTATGCTTTGAGATTGAGAAAGACTCAATTATTCGTCCATAGGGACCACTGACAATGATGGCCATGGCTGCACTGTTTGTGGTACAGGAGTATCAGAGTCAGTCTTGTTATCTAACGTAGATGACGCTTGAGGAAAGGATGGAATGGGAGCAAAATGTGGCTGCCCAGCATCAGAAACCAGGCACTGGGATTACCACACCAACAGCAACAAGGAGAGATCCTTAAAAAGAATATTGAGTGGAACGAGCAGAAAACAAGGTAATCTCTAGGCTCCAACTATTATTATTAAATTATTAAAGAAGTACTGTAAAAATGTTATCCATTAAAAATAGATACCCAAGGAGCCAGCATTGTGGCGCAGCGGGTTAAAGCCCTGGCCTGAAGCGCCGGCATCCCGTATGGGAGCCAGTTCGAGTCCCGGCTGCTCCTCTTCTGATCCAGCTCTCTGCTATGGCCTGGGAAAGCAGTGGAAGATGGCCCAAGTCCTTGGGCCTCTTCACCCACGTGAGAGACCAGGAAGAAGCTCCTGGCTCCTGGCTTAGGATGGGCGCAGCTCTGGCCGTTGCGGCCATCTGGGGAGTGAACCAGCGGATGGAAGACCTCTCTCTCTACCTCTCTGTCATTCTATTTGAATAAATCTTAAAAAAAAAAAAAATAGACACCGAAGCACAATAGCTATGTCGTTGAAGATGAGCGTTGGGGATCGAGGGGAAAAAAAAAATCAGAGAGGGCTCTTGTCCCTTTCATGAGTCAGAGTTTAAGGGCTTCAAATCTGAACCCCAAGTCCAAAGCAGGAGGAAGCGGAGGGAGTGTGGAAGCGAGAGGAGGGGAAGGCGTAGTGGAAGAGGCGTCCCACACAGAAGGGAGATACTTGAGCGAGACTGCGTGGCTGCACACACATTTTCCCAGAGGGCGGCGTGTCTCGGGTTCTGCCCTATGGTTTTCTCACCACTGCCCCTGAACTTCATAAGGAGGGAAGGCAGGGGCTGTGTCTGCTCGCCCTTCTTTCCCCTCACGTCTCACGCAGTAGCTGCTTCGTAAGGGTCGAATCCCCTTCGCTTCTCGTCACAAGCCTCATCCGGAACTCTCCAGTCCGCGTTTCCTCCCCAGCGTTAGTCCCTGCTCTTCCTGCTGGGTTCCCCACCGTCCTTTTCCTCGGGGGCCTCTTCCCCTTCGCCCTCTCTGACTGACGCGCACACCTTGGACTCCTCCCAGCCTCCCAGAGGCACCGCCCCCTCCGGGTTATATTTGCATATCCGCCTCCGAGCCCCCGCCCCTCTCGAACGTCCGCGCGCGCCCCTAGTGGGCGTGGCAGTTGCCAGGCGACGAGAGGACGCGCCGAGCGCCGGATTCCGGCCCTGAGCCGGCCATGGGGATAACGTGTCGCTGTTTTAGACCCTGAGGAGAGAGCACAGCCCCTTCTCCAGACTCCGGCCCAGTGTCTGCGGTCTCCACAGCAGCCCCTGAGGCCGCCCCAGAGAGCGTCAAGATGGCCGAGGTCAGGAGTCGGCGCCCTTCCCTGTCGTTTCTTGCTCGACCCATCGTTCCTGTCACAGTGATTCTGATCCTTCATCAACAGCCTATCTCTGCCTGCACCTTTACCTCCCCTGTCTTTCTCTGTTGGCCCTGGCCCTCTACCTCCCGTCCTGCCTTCAGTGGTGTGGACACACTCCGCACCCACTATTAAAGTGGGGCTGTGCCTAAAGCGGTAGGAAATTCGGGAGTTCACAGACCCATGCCTGACGTGTTTTAGGCAAAAGGTGGTGTCATAAGAGAGAGGCACACAGAAATACCGACGATGTCTCACCTGACTTGCGGACCTGGAGAAGGCTTCACAAATGCCCAGACCCCCATTCACCTACTCTTGACCCCCCTGTCACACCCTGATCCCTATGCTGTCACATGTCTTCAGGAAGGCCCTTCAGCCGCTGCCCTGTGTTGTCACTGACCCCTGTGTTAACATCTTGTAGCCTCTGTTTACTCCCCCATATTATAGCACACTGCGTCTTCAGCCTCACAGAGGGGAGATCATTTCTATGACCCTTCAGTGACCTCCTGCCTGCCCATTAGCTCCCTCATTTATAATCTCAGCAGCCTTAGGTCCTTGTCATCACTTGCCAGTCACAGCCTGCACCCACCATGGCCTTCCCCAAATCCTTCATCACTCATCAAAGCTCTTCTCCACTTCACCCATCACACAGTCACAGCCAGGACCAGTGACATGATTTGGTAACCTGGTGCAAAATAAAAGCACAGTGCCTCTTGTTTAAAAATTAAGACTTTCAATACTGGAGAGATGAGCATTCAACCAAGGGTGGGGTCTTCTGAGCAGGAACCCTTTGCAACAGAGTAGGTCCCACACCCATTAAGCCAGGCCTTGTCCCTCCTCTCAGCACCATCATGCCCTCACTCCCCTCTAACCGCTTCTCTTGTCCCCTCTTTACCACCTACATCTCCATCATGTGCCATCTCCCGTATTTCCAGTCCACCTTTGTACACTCCATCTGCTTGTGGTCAACAGCATCCTCCTTTCCTTGTCATAATATCTTTCAAACCCCCACCCCGCACATTCTCTGGGTCCCACCCCTTGCATTTCTGTCTGACATCCTTATTGCCGAGGCCACATTGCTTCTGCCCATACGTCATTCACCTGGTCTCTTTCCTTCCCAGTATGCTCCTCTTGCAGCTTCCTGTTTGCCTTTATTTTCCATTATTTCCTTTTGAGAGTGTTTCTCCTCTTCCTTCCCACTAGTCATCTTGGTTTATTTTCTTCTTCTTCATTGTGCATATATAAGCCCCAAATACCAATGCTGTGAACTAATTATTTCCCATTCCTTTTATTATTTCCTCTTGTTTTTTCCCCCCTCTTCTATTTTTTTTCTCACTGGACCTAAGCCAACTTTTCCATACCCCTCCTTTCGTGCTTCTCTGTTTCCATTCTGGCCCCATCACATTTTGCAGCTGTTTTCCGTGCCTGGCACATAGCAAATAATGGATAGGTGATGAATGAAGGAAGGAGTGTGGCAGGTTCTCTTTGATCACTTCATGTTGATACTATGCTTCGAAGATAGATACCATTATATGCTGTAACAGTGTAGAGGCCAACTGTTTATTGGTCACAAAGAAGAGATTATTTTTTCTTTACTCTTAGTATACTTTTTAATGATAAGTATACTTTTTTTTTTTGACAGGCGGAGTGGACAGTGAGAGAGAGAGACAGACAGAAAGGTCTTCCTTTGCCGTTGGTTCACCCTCCAATGGCCGCCGCGGCCAGCGCGCTGCGGCCAGCACATTGCGCTGATCCGAAGGCAGGAGCCAGGTGCTTCTCCTGGTCTCCCATGGAGTGCAGGGCCCAAGCACTTGGGCCATCCTCCACTGCACTCCCTGGCCACAGCAGAGAGCTGGCCTGGAAGAGGGGCAACCGGACAGGATCCAGTGCCCCGACCGGGACTAGAACCCGGTGTGCCGGCGCCGCAAGGTGGAGGATTAGCCTAGTGAGCTGTGGCGTCGGCCCGATAAGTATACTTTTTAATGATACTATGAAGAAGTTTATTTTGCTCATCAAAGTTTCTTTCGAACTTTCCTTTCTTTGATGTTCTTCCATTCCTGTGCTAAGCGTCAGGTGTATAGGGAAAACCTGGTTTGCAAACAAATCATTAGACTGGTGATCAAGTGTTGACATTAATGCCAGTTGCAGGAATGGAACTGAGAACATTGTTGTGATAAATTGTTGTGTGTGCTCATGTTAGCATCAACAAGGGGGAAGAACAGAGCAGCAGCATCACCATATTTCCTTAATGTGAGTTTTTCCTTCTTCGTGGAATTGCTACATTGTGGTCTTTGCAAGGATCTGCTTTTAGTCAGGAAGAAAACCTCTACTGAATTTAAAATTCATACTAAAGTCATTACACGAAATGTTATGGATATGCTTGTGACTCCACATATAATCTCCAAAGACTGGGTTTTGCTTGCTTGTCATCTTGTGAGATTTATTAACAATACAAGTATTTTTGAAAATCAAAAAATGTGTAGACTTTCTCCATACAGGGCAAGACAGAATTGTCAAAACTGAAGGTGAACTGGACTACTTACCCAAAATATTCAGAGTGAACTGGCATTTTTCTTTATTTTGGGATTAGAGGTGGTCTCAGTTTCTTTGATTAGCTATAGAATGTTGATGCCAAAGCCCTTTTTAGTGTAGAATATCAAAGCATAGGTTGCAAACATAAATAAGGCCCTGCAGATCTTAGCAGTCCTGTATGTGAAAGTCTTGAGTGATTCTCTATGGCTTTCAGAATAATGCATTCCATGTCCCTTGGAATGCTAGTCAGTGCTCCCAGTCTGTCCCTAATCTCCTAGCCAGTCTTCTGCTACCTTCTCCCTGCCATAGCTCTTAGACTTTGACTTGGTTGGATGATTGCAAGGCCTTGAGCATTTGCCTGAGCTTTGCCAGCTCAGCTCCTGGGAGTGTCCTTTCCCCTCATCTACCTGTAAAAATTCCACTTGTCCTTCTTGAACCCATTCAAATGCTACTTCCTTCATGAAATTTGCTTTATTCTTGCCACCGGGAGGGGGGTAATTCTGTCTTCTTGTGGGTTATTATAGAGTTTTGAATTCATCTTGTGGCAGGGTCAAAATTCTATACTTCCATCATCTGTGTAATAAACTCCACCAGCTATTAAAGCACAAATTCCCAGTGGGTAGGCACGCTTCCTCCTTCCCTCCCTTCCTCCTTCCCTCCCTTCCTCCCTCCCTCCCTTCATTTGTTTATTTGAAACACAGAGCAATGAGGGACAGGGAGAGACACAGACAGATCTTCCAGGTCTGAGCCAGGCTGAAGCCTAGAGCCAGGATCTACATCTGGGTCTCTCACATTGGTGGTGTAGGCCCAAGTACTTTGACATCCTCTGCTACTTTCTCAGGCATGTTGGCAGGAGTTTGGACTGGAAACAGAGTAGCAAGGACTCTAACCAGTGCTCCCATATGGGATTCTGGTTTTGTAGGTGGTGGCTTAACCTGTTATACTGCCCCAAGCTATTTTTTTCTTACCTTGGTATCTCGGCAGACTCCACCATAGAACTTACATATGGTAGATTTTCAGTATGTATTTACTGAGTTAATGAATACCTTTATTAACTATAGCCATTCTTTTTATTATTGTGCTATATCTAGCAAGAAGTAGGTGTACATGTTTGCTGGAGCAGTCATGGCAGAATACCACAAACGAAGTAGCTTAAAACAGCAGAAATTTATTGCCTCCCAGTTCTGGAGGCTAAAAGTCCCAAACCTGTAGGCAGGGCTGTACTCCCTCTGAGACTGTGAGTGTAATCCTTCCTTGCTTCTCCTGGCTACTGGTAGTGGTTGACAATCCTTAGTTTTCCTTGAATTGCAGTTGTATTTGTCCAAACTCTGCGTCCATCATCATCTCTGGGTTCAGATTTCTCCTTTTCACAAGAAAATCAGTCATACCGCGTGAGGGTATGACGCCTACTCCAGTGTGACCTCACCTTAACTAATTATACATAATTGCTATATTCCCAAATAAGATCACCATCATTGGTGCTAGAGCTAGGACTTCAACATCCTTTTATGGGGAACACAGTAGGGAAATAAGAGTTCCAATGTGTCTCCCTAAATGTCCTCAACTGCTAGGGCTGGGCCAAGCCCAAAGCAAGGACCCAGGAACTCAGTCCAGTTCTCCCACATGGGTGGCAGGAGCCCAATTATTTGAACCATCACCACTGCCCCCCAGAGTCTGCATTGGCAGGAGGCTGGAGCTGGGAATTGAATCCAGTCACTCCAATAGGCTCAGTGCCTACTTCCCTAGTTTTTTAAGGGACAGAAATGGTTAGGAAAACAGTCCATATTTCAGATTGGTTTCACTGTGAGTGTGATTTAATAGTATCTGTGCCAAGATCTCTGCACATCTGACTTCAACATGCCATGACTCCCCTCGGCAGTCCTTAGGAAAGTAAGCAGTACCCAGTGAAAATAGACCGAGGTTTGGAATAATCTTTTTTTTTTTTTTTTTTTAAGATTTATTTATTTATTTGAAAGGCAGAGTTACAGAGGGGTAGAGGCAGAGAGAGTGAAGGAGGGAGAGGTCTTCCATCTGCTGGTTCACTTCCCAAATGGCCTCAATGGTTGGAACTGAGCTGATCTGAAGCCAGGAGCCAGGAGCTTTTTCCAGGTCTCTCATGTGGATGCAGGGGCCCAAGGACTTGGGCCATCCTCCACTGCTTTCCTAGGCCATAGCAGAGAGCTGTATCAGAAGTGGAGCAGCCAGGGCTCGAACCAGCACATGTATGGGATGCCAGCACTGAAGGTGGCAGCTTTACCTGTTATGCCACACACTGGCCTCCAGAATAATCTTAACAGCTACTAAAATTCATTGAATGCTGACTCTTTGCCAGGTATTTGGCTAAGTGTTTAACATCAACACTATTTAATCTAATCCTACATCAGGTAGTAGGGAATATTATTATCTTAATGCATACATATTCTACATATATATTTTAATGCATATGTTGTATGTATAGACAATGTGTATATATAGTGTGTGTATATTTACACACACACATGGGGATACTTCAAAAAGTTCATGGGGAGTGGAATTAAAAGGTAAATTTATTTTGTTGAAAATTTTATGAAATCCATGCATGATTTTTTCATAATACTCACTTCCATGAATGTTTTGAAGACCCCCTGTACACACACACACACACACACACAGTCTATGTACCTGTCTATGTATAAATGCATCAGAGCATAAACAAGACTACTTCCTGTCATGTAATGTTAGTTTTTCTGCTTGTTAATAGCTTTTATTTTGCATGTATGCAGGTCTTTCCTTCAGAGGTGGTAGCAATGTTTCCTTGTAAATGTTGCAATGCTGATTCCCATCTTTGCTCTTCTATGCAGGATAAGGGTGAAAAGCTAGTGCTGGAAGAAACTGCATTTGAGGAAATCGAAAGAGATTTTCAGGTGGTTCTTGGTGAACTTTCAGGAGATAAAAGTCTGGACAAATTTAGGATTGAATATGAGAAACTTCATGCCATCCTGAAAAAGTCTTACGACAATGAGAAGCGTCTGATGGCCAAATGCAGAGAGCTAAATGCAGAGATTGTGGTTAACTCTGCGAAGGTTGCCACTGCCCTGAAGGTCTCACAGGATGATCAGACCACCATTGCATACCTGAAGAAGGTCAGTGGTCCAGAGAGCGTGAGCCTGCCCTTAAAATATCCCAGCTCGAGGCTGCTGGTCAAAGAGTAGCTGGGTAAAAAATTTACATGATTTAAACTTTCATTAAGCTGGGGAGTAATGCTCTTTTTCAAAGAAAGTAATTCTCCAGGGTGAATTTCGCCATGCGGAAAATACTGGAGGGCCTTACTGCTTGGTTTCTGGGGAATAATGGGTTAGCAAAAAGACTTAGAGATAAGTAAATGCGGTATTAGGAATGTCCGTACTTCTTGTTTATTGCAAGATGAGCAATTAAATATCTCATGATGACAGCTTGTTAAAGATATTTTCCCATTTCTACTTTTCCTCTTTCTGGAGTAGAGATTATCTTGAGAATTCCAAATGTGGTGTCCTTGACCTTCCCCATATCCCCTTGCTTCTCATTTGATCCACCCAATTCCTCATGATAGGAGAGAGGGGATTCAATCCCAGGGGATATGGAGGAAGTGTTGCTTTACTTTCTGCTGTATTTTTTCATCCTCAAGTATGTTATATAATTTTGAAGATAAAACATAAATGTTCCTTGTTGATCTTAGGGTGATAAGAGATCAAGACATATTCATTTACAAAACCTTAGTTATATGAAATAATTTATAATTTTTTTGGACCATTCTCTTGATATGCAACTAGATGTCATCCAATTCAAACTAATTTCCAAGACCAGTACAAAATAAGCCTTACCTGGTTTTTTGAGTGTTATTTTTTTTTACTCTATTGTAATTTTCTTCATCTCCTTCCTGAAAAACCAATATAAGAAGGCTTTTATTTATTTTATGATGAGAAAAATCAATTTTCATTGTATGTTTACAATGGAAATGGGAGTCATGAATTGATTATCATGTATTTGGTAAAGTTGATTTGGATAAAACTTTATGAAATCATTTAAATATCCTTCATTTGCTTTGCCAGAATGGGATTGCTACATAAGAACATATCCTAGAAATTGACATTTTGTTTTTAGTCACTATATTATGTGCTGTGGTTACTCAAGAGTTGTTTCTTCAATATAATAGTGAGCATGAATTTATTAAATTAAGTTAAACACTCTCATTCACTCATTTTATTTCTTGACAACATGAAAGTGGAATATTTTCACTTAAAGCTTATAGGTCCTTCTCTGTCTAAACGGCTGGCACTCCACTTGACAATATTTTGCAGGAAAGCTAAGTGTCGAGGTAAAATTCAGTGCTGTTGCAACGCCCTGTCCTTTGCTCGCTACTCCAGGGGCTGTAATTCACTTTTGAGTTCTTGTGTTAATCCTCGACATTGCTTCTCACAGCAATAGGGAAGCCAAGGCTGTATGAATCATTGTTTCCATTCCCTGCTGTGGGTTTTATTTCTCCGCTAAAAGCATTTGAGATGACAAGGCATGGGTTTGGGTTTCCAGAAATTGGAATTACCAAAGTTTTTGTGTACAATTACGTCACAGGGAAGAACAGCGTCACTCTGGGTTGTTCTAAAGATAACTTTGCCATCCAGAATCTCACTTGGGATTGAGGACAAAATATATTTTCTATATGTAAATCTACCAAGAGATTCACTTCAATCTACCAGTTTAGGATTTGGATCTATGACCATTCTCCATGTGATAAAGTTTTCTTTGGGTAGTTATTTGGACTTGGAAAGCATATAAAATTGCAGCTTTAATTTTGTAACCCTGCCAACATCTTTATGTCAGAAACAATCCCCTTAGAGTAGCCTCGGTAGTGTGTGAGTCTTGTAGCCACCCTCACCTACCCAAGAAAATATGTGCTTTGCTCGTCCCCCTCTTTCCCAGTGCTGCTCACTGTTGACTAGCTCATGCTGGACAGTAAGTCAGGACAAACTCATGCACAATGTGTAACATATAACACATAAAATTCTTTCCCCATAAATGACTACTACACTGTAGTACTTTATTTGCTAGCTTATCATGCACCTGGAACCCAGTGTGGTTTTTCTCACTGATATCCCATGGCCCATCTAGGAAGTTGAAAAGGCCTGGAAGATGGTGGACTCAGCCTATGATAAGGAGCAGAAGGCGGAGGAGACGATTCTTGCCCTGAAAGAGGAAATAGTGAACATGACCAAACTAGTCGAGCAAGGGTCTGGACTGACATTGGACCAAGATAGCAAGTAGGTCACAGCCTTTTTTGATGTAAGTTGAGCTTGCTTTTGTGGAAACCTTCTTCAATAGACAGCCTGGGGCTTGCTGGTATCTTCTTGAATATTCTCTGTGATACAAGACAATTACTATATATCAATGAAAAAAAATTACTTGATTCAAAAAAACAAATATAAAAAACCAACCAAAATCCAATTCTCCTTTGATGGCTTTCCACAGATGGTTTTCTTTTCCAATTTTTATTGATTTTATTTATGAGAGAGAAGGAGAGGGAAGAGGGACAAGGGGAGAGAGAGGGGGAGAGGGGAGAGGGGAGAGGGAGAGGATTTTTTTATCTGCTGGTTTACTCCTCTAACACCTGCAAGAGCCAGAGCTGGCCAAGGCTGATGTCGAGAGTCAGGAACTCAATGCAGGTTTCCAACATGGATGGCAGGACCCAACTACTTTGAGCCTGTTGCTTCCTAGGGTGAGCAATAGCAGGAGGCAGGAACAGAGCTTGGACTCAAAGGCAGGTACCCTGGGCCGGTGCCGTGGCTCACTAGGCTAATCCTCTGCCTTGCGGCGCCGGCACACCGGGTTCTAGTCCCGGTCGGGGCGCCGGATTCTGTCCCCGTTGCCCCTCTTCCAGGCCAGCTCTCTGCTGTGGCCCGGGAAGGCAGTGGAGGATGGCCCAAGTGCTTGGGCCCTGCACCCCATGGGAGACCAGGATAAGTACCTGGCTCCTGCCATCGGATCAGTGCGGTGCATTGGCCGCAGTGCGCTGGCCGCGGTGGCCATTGGAGGGTGAACCAATGGCAAAGACCTTTATCTCTGTCTCTCTCTCTCTCACTGTCCACTATGCCTGTCAAAAAAAAAAAAAAAAAAAAAAAAAAAAAGGCAGGTACTCTGACATGGGATGCAATTATCTCAAGTGGTATCTTAACTGTTGGACTAAACACCTGCCCCTGTTTCATACTCCTTTTCTCCACACACAGAATTTCTTATTTGTGGTTATATTAAACTTATGGCTCTATAAAAGTCATTACTATATAAATTTACTCACTTTAAAATTATTTCTCTCAAACTGTATAGAACAGAACTGGCTATCTTAGAGTCCCAGCTTTTCTCATTTGCACGTCATGATTAATTTAATCAACACCTTCCCCATGCCCTCAAGTTCTAGACCAGAAATCAGAGTTAACTGGGGCCAGTGCTATGGAACAGTGGGTTAAGCAGCGGCCTGCTGTGCTGGCATCCCATATGGGCACTGGTTCGAGTCCTGGCTGCTCTACTTCCAATGAAAGTGGAGATCTCTCTGTCTCTGTCTCTCCTCTCTCTCTGTAACTCTACCTGTCAACTAAATAAGTAAATCTTAAAAAACAACAACAGGGTTGCTCTTCACCTCTGCCACTCCTTCCTCCCTGAAAGCTTTGTCTTGCTGCTTTGATCTTCCCAGCATCACCTTTCCCTCCATCTCACCACCAGCACCTCTGCCTTGATTCATGCCCCCTGTTGTTTGCTGCACTTGGCTGTAGCCTTCTTGCTGGTCTCCCTGTCTACAGGAAGACTTTTCCCTCTTTATTTCATCAAGGCTACCAGATTTATGCTTCTGAAATGTGTATGCCCCTATCCCCAGCATGAGCATGTTTGATAGCCACCATAACCAAAGGATAAAACCCAGATCCCCAGGAATGTTGTGTGGATCCCTTGATAAATCTGCCCCAGTTGGGCTCTTCTAGTCTCATGCGTAGCCACACCAGGTTGCTCATGCCTCTGTGCCTTTGCACACTCTGCTTCCTATGTGTGGAATGCCTCTTCTTCCATTCTTCCTTCAAGACCTATCTCAAACACTGTCTTAACTTCATCACCATCAGCATCTCTATTCCAACCCCCTCTCCACCTCCAGACCCTAGTGGCTAGGCTGAAAGAATCAATATGTTCTCTATTTCCATAGGATCCAGCATGTGTTTCCAGTATGGCGCTGATCATGTTATGCCAAAATTATTTATTGATATGCTTGTCTACTCATTAGGCTGCGAACTTCCTGGAGGAAGACAACTTAATATCCCCTTCAGGAGTCTGGCCCAGGGTAGAGCACGCACAACATCACATCAGTTAATGAGTCAGGAGTGAGCGTACATTTCCATGGGCATCTTCAACCAATTATAAGTGTTCTCTCAGTTTCTTATGCCTTCCCAATTCATTGACCCAGTGTTGATATGTCTAAGCATAGCTGTTGGGGGAGGGACTAGGAAAAACAAACAGAAGATGGGATCCCTATAGTGATGGACCCTACCACCTTCTTGACAAAGTCAAGCATATTCAGAGCCAGTACTGAAGAGCAGTGCAAGGGAATAGATTCACATAGGATGAGGTGGTTTTTGTTTGTTTGTTTGTTTTTGTTTTTGTTTTTAGAATTGGAAGAGATTGAGGAGGGGAACTATAATGACTGTTCAGCCCAGAATTTTATCTGCAGTCACGTGCTCAGATGTTCCTCCTCATAGTAACCTTGAAATTTGAGGTTTTATTGCCGGAGAAGAGTTTAAGTGCAGATGTGAATGTTCTTTATTGAAACTTTATGTTAAATCAAAGGTGCTGGTAAATAAACATTGTCAAATCCCCATTTTTTAAAAAAAGTTTTATTTTTTGAAAAAGAGAGAGGCCGGCGCCGCGGCTTACTTGGCTAATCCTCCACCTGCGGTGCTGGTACCCTGGGTTCTAGTCCTGGTTGGGATGCCGGATTCTGTCCCGGTTGTTTCTTTTCCAGTCCAGCTCTCTGCTGTGGCCCGGGAAGGCAGTGGAGGATGGCCCAAGTGCTTGGGCCCTGCACCCGCATGGGAGACCAGGGAGAAGCACCTGGCTCCTGGCTTCGAATCGGCGCAGTGCACCAGCCATGGCGGCTGTTTTGGGGGTGAACCAACGGGAAAAGAAAAGACTTTTCTCTCTGTCTCTCTCTCACTGTCTAACTCTGCCTGTCCAAAAAAAAAAAAAAAAAAAAAAAAAAAGAGAGAGAGAGAAAGAGAGAGATCTTCCATCTGCTGGTTCACTCTCCAAATTTCCACAACGGCTAGGCCAAAACCAGAGCCTGGAACTCCTTTCTGGTCTCCCAGTGGGTGACAGGGGTCTGAGCAGTTGGGCCATGTTCTGCTGCTTTCCCAGGCACATTAGCAGGCAGCAGTAGAGCAGCCTGGTCTCCATCCAGGGCTCATATGGGATGCTAGTATCACAGGTGGTTACTTAACTCTCTGCACCAGGACTCTGGCCTCCTTGTTCTGATTGGTCATTTGATGACTGTCAGCTGCAAGTCCTCAGGGCATGTTCTTTGCTGTGTCAGCTCTGAGAGCTGCCTTGATCCAGATTCATTCTTCTGCTGATGTCATAGCCGTCTCAGCTCTTACCTTCTGCAGGCTCAAATTCTGCAGAAGGTCATGCCAGATCATGTGGAATTGGTTTTTGAAGTGCAGAGATACCTGGTTTACAATTCAAATCAATGAATGTTATCACATACTCTCCAAAAACCAACATCGTGAATGATTTTCCAAATTTTGTTCTTGGGAACATTTTATTTGGGCCTCATCCCTTTGGGAAAAACTATTCTCCTTGGGTGAATGGATAGAAAAGTGGTGATGCATACTATTTGCTTACAATTATGTTTCATGTTAGACTTTATGACTGTGATTATAGCCCTCCAGTGGATATGTAAAACAAATAATGTCTTGAATTGATATCTCCTTAGGGTTAATTACAAGAGTTGACAATAGCAATACAGTCTTAGCAACAAATTTGAATAATACAAAGGTGTGGAAAGTATAGTCTCACAAGTTTTCCACCTCAAATTCCTCAGAGATAGCCAGTTACCTGATTGGAGTTGTTTTCTAGCCTTCTGTTAAAATGCCCATTAGACATACATGCACACAAGACACACAAATAGGTACTGTTTATTTCTTTAAAAATGAAGAAAAGATTATATTGTGCATATTATTATTGGCATTTCTTATTTCTCAGTTAACAACTCCTGTTTCAGGGCATAAAGATCTTTCTCTTTAACAACTAAATAAATAGTGTTCATTGTTGACTTGGAAGATGAGCTCAGGGGGTGATCTGAAGGGCCCATGAGCAGATGGCCACTTAGCCTGACTCCTGTATTCTTCCTTTTCAGTATCCGAGATTTACTGAAGTTCAAAGAAGAAGTGACAAAAGAGCGAGACCAGCTCTTGTCAGAAGTGGTGAAATTACGAGAGGCCTTAGCTCAGACCACTGGACAGCAGCAGGAAACAGAGAGATCGAAAGAAGAGGCAGAGCAAGTCATCAGTCAGGTCCGTCCTGCCTCGCAGGGCAAGATAAAGGACTGCTACCTCCCTGGAGATTCCCGGTGCTTTTCTAGTCTCCCTTCCCATCTTGTTCTTCCCTTGAGCCCAAATCGAGCATCTTCTGCTCTGCTTCTTTCTCTGTTTGATTCTTGTGAGAACGGTCTTACTTGAGTCATTTTTTTTCTCCACTTCCGCTGTCTCAGAAGTCAGGACAGCAGGGACTCCCTGCTTAGAATTCTGGGTCAAGCAGCTGTGCCCTGTGAAGGCCAAGATTCCAGCATCTAAAAGTGCTGGAGAGGAGTTCCTTTGGCCTTTCAGTTAGAAAAACCACCTAACCAAATCCTTTCGGACAGTTTTATATAAAGCCAGAAATAAATTAGATAGTACACACTGTGCAGTTTCCAGGAGAATAACACAAGACTTCTTTCAGTGTGAAAAAGACTTTAATAGAATTTGAACACCAAGGTGAAACTACTGTGCTTTGTTTAGCAATGTCCAGGACAATGTGAAACACAGTTTCATGTTTAAGGTAGCCAACCACACTTTTTAGAAGTCTCTAATGGTGAACTGGATGAAATTTTTCCAGGTATAATGTCGTTAGGATTCTGGGCCTGCATATTTAGTTGATTTTTTTTTTTTTATTTGACAGATAGAGTTAGTGAGAAAGAGAGACAGAGAGAAAGGTCTTCTTTCCATTGGTTCACCTCCCAAATGGCCACTATGGTCAGAGCTACGCCGATCCAAAGCCAGGAGCCAGGTGCTTCTCCCTGGTCTCCCATGGGGTGCAGGGGCCAAGCACTTGGGCCATCCTCCACTGCACTCCCGGGCCACAGCAGAGAGCTGGACTGGAAGAGGAGCAACTGGGACTAGAACCTGGTGCCCATATGGGATGCTGGCGCTGCAGGCGAAGGATTAGCCAAGTAAGCCACGGTGCTGGCTCCAAGTTGATTTTTTAATAATCTATTGTGGATATGTTGGCTACGATTAGGGTAGGCATTCGGTGTCAAGGCCCTGAGAAATAATTTAGAATATTCCTGACAAATTTGAATATTGGGGCTCAAGGATGATATAAAGTGACTGCCCTGGACATCACAGGCCTGAGGGGTTGGGGCACAGGGGCTTGGCTGGTTGAGATCCGCCATGGCAAGGGGTCATTCCCATCTCTCCTCTCCTCTCTGTATCCTTTAGTTTCAGCAAGAAATCCAGCAACGTCAGAATGAAGCTTCGCGGGAGTCGCGGAAGAAGGAGAAGCTGGAGAAGGAGCTCAAGCAGATCCAGGTGGACATGGACAGCAGGCAGGCAGAGATCAAGGCCCTGCAGCAGTATGTGCAGAAGAGCAAGGAGGAGCTCCAGAAGCTGGAGCAGCAGCTGAAGGAGCAGAAGGTGAGCTGCGTGGGCTGTGCCGGGCCCAAGGAAGCACAGTAAGAGTTCCTTTGTTCACAGTCTGCTGGTGCATTTTGAATTTTTTTGCACATCCCTTCACTACTGGTGATGGTAACTTACAGTTAACACCGTAAGTTGATTTTTGTGCTCATCCTGGGTAGTTATGCCCTCTTTCCCCCCTAGTTCCAAAGAGTTAATTAACTTCCTCCTAGCTTTTTATTGTTGTATAATATATACATAAAGAATATATGTGTCACAAGCATGGAGCTTGCTGAATTTTCACCATTTGAACACACCTTGGTTACCTGCACCCATCCCAAGGAACAGAAGAACAATGGGAGCATCCCAGAAACCCTTTGAAGCCCCTCCCAGTCATTGTGCCCCCCAAAAGACCATCTCTATCCTGAATTCTAAGCAGAGCTTAGTTTTACCTGCTTTTTTACTTCACAGAAATGAAATATTATAGGACGTACTTTTTAATGTATATCTTCTGTTGCATTCTGTTTGGGATATTCATTCATGTTGTTGCCATTTAGTTGTAGATCTATAATGTCCAGTATGGTTGCCAGTAGCTACATGTGGCTGTTTAAATCGAATTCATTAAAATTAAGTGAAAGTAGAAGTTCCTTTCCCCAGTTGCACTGGCGTCATTTCAGATGCTCAGTACCCATAGATGGCTGGTGAATACCGTATCATTACAGGGAGAGAACATTTGCACCATTGCAGAAAGTACCACTGGACAGAGCTCAGTGCACCATTAACTCTCATCGCTGTATCATATTCCATTATATGCATATGACATGGTTTACTTTTAATTTAAAATTATTTATTTGAGGAGCAAAGAGACAGGGTGAGCTCTCCCTTCTTTTGGTTCAGTCTCCAAATGCCCACATCAGCTGAGGCTCAGTCAGGCTGAAGCCCAGAGCCTGGAATTCAGTCCGAGTCTCTCACTTGGTTGTCAGGGACTCAACTACTTGAGCCGTCACCACTGCCTCCCAGGGTGTACCTTAGTAAGAAGCTGGAGTTGGGAGCTGGAGCTGTGATGCAAACCCAGGCATTCTGATATGAGCTGTGTAAGGAAAAGAATGCAGATTGGTGCCTCCTCACGCGGGGCACCAAATGTAAGAAAAAAGAATGCAGAACAGAGAAAGGAAACAGAATAGGAACTCACAGCCAGACCGAATTAATTCAGAGAAAATGAATCTGCAGAGGTGGGTGACCAACTACTAGCGTACACACAGACCAAAAGAACACATGGCAGAGGGCCCAGACCCTAGCAGGCTGGGCCTTTTTATATCCTAGGTGGACCAGGAGTCGGGGTGGGGCGCAATAGGTAGAGCTTCTCCATACTGGTTCTTCAAGTTGGTCCCACTGGCTTCCAAACCTGGGGAAGAATGCAGAGGATGGGGTGCGGAACACTACAGGGTGTGAGACAGAACTGGTCTCTTGAAAGAAGGCAGGGGTAACAAGAACCTGCAGTGGCTGAGGCTTATGTCCTTGTTCCATCAGGATGCAGGTGTCCCAGGTGGTGTCTTAATCACTATGCCAAACATCCTTTCTCATAATTTATTGTTTTTTAATCTTTAATTTATTTTTAAAGATTTATTCATTTATTTGAGAATCAGAGTTACACAGAGACAGGAGAGGCAGAGAGAGAGAGAGAGGTCTTCCACCCGCTGGTTCACTCCTCAACTGGCCGTAACGGCCAGAGCTGCACCCATCCTAAGCCAGGAGCCAGGAGCCTCTTCTGGGTCTCCCAAGTGGGCGCAGGGGTCCAAGGACTTGGACCTCTACTACTTCCCCAGGCCACAGCAGAGAGCTGGATGGGAAGTGTAGCAGCCCGGACTCAAACCAGTGCCCATATGGGATGTGGACACTGCAGGTGGTGGCTTTACCTGCTACACCACAGCACCAGCCTCATAATTTATTTTTAATTTTCAACTTTAGGAAACCATGCTCAGTTTTTATGCGTTTTTATTATGGCACTATTTTTAACATTTCCCTATTATAATGATTTAAGGTAGCACAAATATTAGTAATTCTATTGTCTTCTCATTTCTTAAAGAAGCAATTCATATAATTGCAAAATCTTTTTTAATGATTTATTTGAAAGGCAGAGTTATATATAGAGAGGGAGAGACAGAGACAGAGAGAGAGAGAGAGAGATCATCCATCTACTGGTTCACTCCCCAAATGGCCACAACAAGCGGGGCTGGGCCAAGACAAAACCCGGAGCCTGGAGTTTCTTCCAGGTCTCCCACATGGGTACAGGGGCCCAAGCCCTTGGGCCATCTTCTGACACTTTCACAGGCACATTAGTGGGGAACTGGACTTTAAGTAGAGCAGCCAGGACCAGAACCAGTGCCTATATGAGATGGTAGTGCTGTAGACCAAGCTTAACCCACTGTGCCACAGCACTAGCCCTAAAATCTTTTCTTAAAAATATCTTCTCTCTGGGTGTTAGCTCCAAAGAATTAGCAAGTCATTCAGTATTTTTCTACTTTTAAAACATAGATATTAGAATGCATGTCTTTGCCAGTTGCTTTATTCGTTTTATATAAAGCCAAAAGTCAAATAGGTAATACAGAGTGTGCAGTCTCCAGAAGAAAAATGTGAGATGTCTCTGAACATGAAATTTGAAAGGCTTTTGGGTATCAGAATAAAACTATATGCTTTACTTAGCAATATACAAGATTCCTGTAAGACACAATCGCATATTTAGCATAGCTGATTACATTTTATTTAGTCCCTATTGATGGGAAATAGGATGAATTCTTTCCATGCTTGAATTTTGCATGCATGGGAGTTATATTTTTGAATAAATACCCAAACCATTCTCTCTGCTCATTTTCTATCTCCTGCTCCTAATATTCCCCCAATAGAAATGACCTCCAAGGTAGAATTCTTTGTTTCTATAAAACCATGTCTGCTCACGACATTCATAGTAGGGAAGAGGAAAATCTAGCAGATAGAAGTCACTCCACTGCTGCTGCAGGGTTTCGACTTCAGTTGGATTGAAGGGGCCTGCCTCTGTGTTGGTGTTAGAGAATGGTTCTGTTCACGGAAATGTTGTAGGCATGTTAATGCAAGACTTGCTTCTGAAGATGTAGCTTATAAAACCAGTTTGAATCTCTAGCTCATTTGCAATGATTATAGCAATTGTTGCATACGCAAAGCCTGCCAAATGGCAAACAGGCATTAAAATATTTATCCACCACCTGCGAACAAGACTTCCCAAGGCTCTCAGAAAAAAAAAAAATTACGCTCACTGTGTTGTTCATTAGAAGGCGCCATTCTCCTCAGCCATTTAACATTCATCATATTTGAGTGTGTGAGAGCTTTCAGTAGGGAAAAAGAACAGTTTCTACAAAGACAGAAAAGTGTGGTGGCTGTTATCTTCCCAGGAGGCATGGGGGCCTCCTGTGTGTGTATGCAGATACTGTAATCAGATTAAAAAGCATTAACCAGCCTGTTCCACGCCTTTCAGATATTGAATGAGAGAGCTGCAAAGGAACTCGAGCAGTTTCAGATGAGAAATTCGAAGCTTCAGCAAGAGAACGAACAGCACAGTTTGGTTTGTGAGCAGTTAACCCAGGAAAACCAGCAGAAGGCGTTGGAGCTCAAAGTAAACCCCAAGTGAAATGCCTGTCCCCTAGTACTTCCTTTCTCATTACTTACGAACACAGGTTTGCCTTTGTGGTTGCAGCCTTTGCCTGGATAACCCGTGTTAGCTCCACTGGAGCCTTGGGCCATCAGAGGCAGGTGTGAGCCTACAGTGATTGCTTTAGGCCTGGAAGCAGACAGTTTGATAACTTTCGTTCTTAGGAAATCACGAACCTGATTATTGATCATATGATTATGCAAATACGTTCCAAAGCAAGATCTGATGTTCATCTCTGTAACTAGCCTTGCAAGTAACCCACTTGCCTGGAGCTAGAAACCATTTGTGTGCATGAGTAGCAAAGAATTCAGATATGTTTCACTACATATACGGAGAAGGTGGGGTGGCAGGACTCGGGGGACGGATTGATACTGATGGGTATTTATACCCAGGGTTATAGAGTCATGATTTTTCTACTATCCAAATTTGTTTCAAGAAAGGGTTCCATTCTCCTTTCTGTCCTCATTGGAGAGTGTTGCAAATTAAGTTTGAGTAACAATTTTATACTTATTATGTGTATTGGATATATACTGTGTGCCTACATGACTAACTGAATAATTTTGTGTTTATCAGTTTAATTTGGAACCAACCCACATCCTTTAGTTTAGTTATGTTATAATACTGGGCATAAAAGGAGTAGCCTATCAAGACTACATGGATTTGAACAGCGAACCATAACTTTTTTGTGTGTTACTGTCTCCTGAGGATCTGATAAACATGCATGTCCACATTCATGCACACACTTATATGCACCTCTTGCTTCTTGTTTTGAATGCATCTTGGAAATAGGAGAGTTTTCTAGGATGTTTCTGAAGTCCAACCCTGGGGCCTGGGTTAATAATCATTGCATTCAAACATTTTAGAACTGAAAGGGACCTTAAAGTCAACCACCTTGAACTTTATAGGGCCTCAGCCTGAGGAATTTTTAAAGCAGTCCATGATGGATTGACTCAAAACCATTTTTTATGAGAATGCAGTAAGTTGAAGCAGAAGTGAAATGACTCCTTGAGTCAGAATAATATATTAGCCCCTAATGTGAAATTAAAGTAAAAATACTTATGTCATGAATTCTTGCCTTTGTTAACATGATGGGGGCATCTTGAAGATGGACCATGTTTGTTAGATTCTCAGCCCAGTAGGTTTTGGCCTCTGGCAGTAACCTGAGGCTAACATGCACAACTAATTTCAGGTCTCTTCCTCATGGTCAGGAGTTGAGATAATTGCCAACCTTTGTTTGCAGAAGAATCTCCAGCTGCTTTTCCAGTCATTTCTAAGGCTCACATTTTAAAAAAGTGATTTAATTAATGTGTAAAGCCATATAGGTTGAAGTTCAAACATCTGATGAATATCTGGTGCTATTCTTTTCTAGGATAATTTTGGGGGTACCTTTTGCCATTATGAGGACTTGCCTCTTCCTGTTGCCTTGTCCACCTGTCCATCTGTACATCCATCCACTAACACACTTTGAGAAAGGAAGACCCCTTCTGTAGTGGATGCAGTTGGGCTACAGTGACTCCATGGCTCCAGAAGAGTGTTTGAATATTTTATAGCATGTTCATAACCTTCTCAGAGAGATCAATTTTTAAGTTCATGAAAATTGTTCATTGAATACAATGTTTCTATAAAATTCATGTTTATGATATTTGCGATTCAGTAATTTTATTTTGCTTGATACCACATTTATGGTACCTTAAGACACCAAATTTTATCATCTTTTCATTATTTTTAGCTTGTGTAGACACATATTTTATTCAGAGAATACTTTCTCAATTTCTTTCAAAATCAAACAGTGTATGTTTTGATTTAATCACATAGAACAACCTTACACTGACATAGGAAGAATTTCCTTCTATTGATTCTGAGTTTGCCATCATTCAATCACTGGTTCTTTATTTACTCAGTGTCCTGAATAATTCTCTCTTGTTAATGACAGGCCAAAGAGGAAGAAATCCATCTGATGCGCCTCGACATCGGGAAGCTCAACAAAATCAGGGAACAAATCCATAAGAAGTTGCACCAGACTGAAGATCAAAAAGCAGAAGTGGAGCAGAACAGAGAAACCCTGAAAAATCAGATCTTGGGATTTGAGAGAGGTAAACCATTTTGTGCTTTGTTTTATTAATTTATAAACATTTCATTAGTGACTAAAGTCATCTTGCAACCCAGGGCTCCATGGCATGCAAACCATGCCAAATGAAATCAATAAAAAAGCACAAAAATGGATTAACAGTCAATATGGATGGGGCATCATTCTGGAAAACTTAAATTCTCTTATGTTAAAAAAAAAAGTTTTTCAAAAGGTTATGTTAGCACGAGGTAAAGCCAGCCGAAAATATTGTTCCACTTTTGTCAGTGGAGCAGATAACAGAGACATTCTTCTGTCTGGATCTATGGAAGATGGGATATGCCACAATGAATTGGCCTTCGTTAGCAACCTATTGTATCAAAGAGTCAGTGGAATAGGAAGAAATAGTTGCTAACATCTGTTCTCTGTTGGTGCTTTAGCAAATGATGAATCCCTGCTTTATACAGCTGACACTGACCTATGAAGGAAAATCTAAGTGCCAGGAGAGGGACTGAAAAATCAGCGAGGATGCAAACTCTGGGGTCAGAGCTGCCTGGGTTTAGGTCCCAATTCCATCCCATGTACTTGCTGGGGGTTGAAACGGGCTCATGCTCCCAAAGCACTTGCCAATAGCACCTGGCACCTGGAAGGTGCTTACTAGATGCCACATATCCTCATCCAGATATTTTCTTTTCTAAATAAGAGTGTAATTAAAATATGATGTACTGGTCAAATTCAGCATGGCAGAAACAGCTCTGGACAAAGACACCTGGGTCTCACTGACCACATGAAGGATGCTGAATTGTAAATCACTGAATGAAATACCATATGCAAAAGCACGCATTGTGTTGTGAAAAGCCAGGTATAATCTACATCTGTAGATAAGATTATTAGAACTGTTTATCACTTAAGTCTTTGAGAAGTGCACACTCATTCTCAGATATCAAGAAATACTATTTTTAAATAAGGGGAATTCCTTAGACTACTTAAACTTACATATTTAAAAAGTTTTATTCAGGCCGGCGCCGCGGCTCACTAGGCTAATCCTCCACCTTGCGGCACCAGCACACCGGGTTCTAGTCCCGGTTGGGGCGCCGGATTCTGTCCCGGTTGCCCCTCTTCCAGGCTAGCTCTCTGCTGTGGCCAGGGAGTGCAGTGGAGGATGGCCCAAGTCCTTGGGCCCTGCACCCCATGGGAGACCAGGATAAGTACCTGGCTCCTGCCATCCGATCCGCGCGGTGCGCCGGCCGCGGCGCGCCGGCTGCGGCGGTCAACAGCAAAGGAAGACCTTTCTCTCTGTCTCTCTCTCTCACTGTCTGCTCTGCCTGTCAAAAAATAAAAATAAAAAAAGTTTTATTCATTTGAGAAAGAGAGAGAAGAATAGAGAGAGAGAGAAACTCAGTCCAGGTCTCCCGGATGGGTTACAGGGACCCAACCACCTTGAGCCATTACCTGTTGCCTCCCAGGGTGCACATCAGCAGGAATGGAGCCGGGAGCCAGGAGCCAGGACTCCAACCCAAACTCCAATATAGGATGTGGGCTTTTCAACCACTAGGCCAAATGTCCACCCTCAGAATTGATCTCGTAGTGAGGTGTAGCTGCAACTGGACAGTTTCTCTGTTCATCCATTCAATCAAGTGAGTGTAGACTATGTCCATCGCTTGGTAAATACAGGATCCTGCCCTCAGGGTACTTGCAGTTGAGGCCGAGTTTACCACTTGATGTCTTACAGGACATATGAAGAAAAGTGGAACCGTAAGACCATACCTTTTGTCTCTACTGAATGACCATAAAAGCACTCCCCTATTTAAAGGTTCTATATTTCTGCTTGCAATATTTTGAAGTTTTGAACAATTTTTTTTAATCCTTTCAGCACTGAGTCCAATTCTCTGTCCATGACAAAAGTCATGCAGGTCTCTCTTCTGATTACTTTACAGATATTGTCAACATTGGTCACTCCTCTTCAGCACTGCTTCCTTTTGATGTACTCAATCAAAGAGTGGCACTGGCCATAATGGTTAGGAACATGGTTCCTCCATATGATTTTCTACTATAAAACTAAAGCAAAAGAACTGAAAAAAATGATCAGAACTAACAAAAGAGCCCAATAGGTGGCAGGTTATAAAATAAATATATAGATATTAATAACTTGTTTTATACCAAAGACTTGGTTAGAATACGTGACGGAAAATTGCCTTTCATAAGAGCCGCTAAAGTAATAAAATATCTATGAGTGAAGTTACCAAGATAACTGCAAGACCTATATATAAAAAAGCTACAGAATTCTATTGAGGGGTATAAAAGAAGACTTGAAAAATGGAGAAAAGTTCTTGAATGTGAAAACTCAATATGATAAAGATATAAAACTGTCCAAATGAATCTATACATTTAATATTTCCAAAAAAATTTCAGTGAGTTATGTTGTATAGGACTTGGAAACTGGTTCTAAAATTTCTCCAGAAGCATAAACACCTGACAATAGCTATAAAATTCTTGAAAAGTAGAGTGGTAAGGGAACATTTGCCTTACTTGTTGTTTAAATGTATGATAAAGGTTGGATAATCAAATAGTTAGTGGTGATATCAAATAAACAGATCAAGGTGGGAAGTAGAAAGGACAGAAAATGCCCAAGATAATCATCTAAGATCAGATGTTGTTTCATAGCAGTGTGTCTTATGAATTATTAAGAAAATGATAGCATGACAATAAGCTATTTTTTTTGGGGGGGAATGTTAATACCAAATGTTGAATAAAATCATACAGCCAAGAATTAAAGATTCACTGAAGTAAAAGCTAAAATTTTATATGTGGTAAAAGACTCTATAAATAAAGGCAAATTGATCAGGATGTTGTCAAAGAATTATTCTCTTTATAACATATGAAGAATTTTCAAAACAATTCATAAGACAATTGACACAGGGCAAATGTGGGCACTTTGAGAAACAGAAATACACAAAAGTGGTCATTAAACATGATAAAGTAGTCAACTTCACCAGTAATCAAAGAGATAGAAATGAAACACTAGCATACTGGTTTTAAGTCTACCAAACTGTCAGAGATGAAGGAGAATGAGAATGCCCAGTGTGGTTTGGGTGGGGATTTCAACTGCTGTGATTTCTAGAGAGAAATATGGCACTAGGAGAGAAATGTCTTAGTTAAAAAATCAGCTTTGTTCCAAGACTTCCTCTTCTAGAAGAAAAAATGAACTTGAACTTTCATGGAATTATTGCATATAACTGCAAAAATATTGGAAACAACTTAAATGATAAAATGGAGTATTGGCTAAGTAAATTATACATTTTTAAACAGTGAAAAACCATGGAGTTAGTAAAAATTCTGATGTGGATACACATTTATAATATATAAAAACATTTATTTTGTGTTTTATAATTGTAAAAGTAAGCTGCAGAATAGTATGTGTAGTATGATTCCTTTTTGGGGCATGTTAATGTATATATACATATATTTGTTTATATGTACACACATTTATTTGCATAGGAAAAAGACTGGAAAGAGATATCAACATTCTAATCTAAACTGATCATGATTGAATTAAAATTTCACTTTTGTTTATCTGTATTTCTAGCTTCATTCTGTATTTCTACTTGTATCGTAGAAAAGATTGCAAAAGAGCAAAGATTTTTGGGAGTCAGAGAAACCAAGTTTCTAATGTTAGCCTTGTCCACTCCTGGCTGTGGACTTCTGGCATACGACTTCATCTGTCTGAGCTTCGGCTTCCATCTATTTACCCAGTGGGGAAGATGAACCCCACAGAGTTATAACGAGGTCCATTAGTAGTTTTACAGCGGCAGACAAACATGTCAATCCGTGTTTGTGTCACTGTGCTTCTGGCTTTTCAGATCCTCTCTTAGGTTGACTCTACATTTATTAGTGTTTTTCTTCCTGGGGATTTAGAGTTGGAGACTTCAAAGAAACAAGCAGAACTCGATAAGAAAGCCCTGGATGAGCTTCTGAGAGAAAGGGACATACTAAATAAGGTGAGTTTATTACAGTAACACTGGTGAATGCATGCTTTTCTTTACTGCTATTATATCTGCCTATAACCAGTTGTGTGGGGAAAGAAAACTCCGAGGCAAACAAAAGTGGATTAGAATAAATAACAGTGCTCAATTTCCCTCTGAGCGGCTGTCTACAGGCTACCATTCACTGACCATGAATTCAAGCTCTATTATCACCTGTGAACACAAAAGGACTTTGGAGAATTAGCATATAAACCAGCAGGAGATGTCACAGTGTTTTGTGGGAGCTGTTTCCATTGCTGTATTATTTGTCATCCTAAACTAACCTGAACAAAAATTCTGAATTTAATATCTATAGTCTACTACTTTTGCTAATCTAGAAATTATAAACGAGTGCTAATTAAATTTTAAGGTGTATGGTGTACAAATGCTAGATTGGTGATGTGAAAATCTTCTCAAGGTTATGTGTTTTTGTTTTTATTTTTAGTCTTTATCCTTTTCATCTTTGAGCTCAGTGTGGTCCACAGGTGAGGGAGAGGTTGGAGGAGCTTGGAGGCAAAACCCTGGAGACCTCTGTCAAAGACAGGACCTCCTCTCTTTCCTCCCCTCCTTCCAGAAGATCTCCTTTATTGAAAGTCACTCTTAGGGGATTATATCCTTTCCAGGATTTAGGATAAACTTTCCTTCTTATGGATTCTTCCAGGGAGGAAGAAACCACAGGCCAGGGGTGGAGGGGGACATCTGCTGCTCTAACAGATACCCCAGTGGTGTCTACCAAAGGAGAAATGGCTATATTTATTCAGTCTGCTTTTCCTTGCTTCTTTAGGTTTTCTAGAATTGAAAAACATCTTAACAATATAGATTATACTTCAGCTTAAAGTACACTACTTAGGGTATCCCATAAAATGGCAGGAGATTAGATCTTCACAGGCTAAGCACTCATGAAGAAGATCACAGAAGTTCTTCCTCTACCTCCAATCCTGGAAATTGTTCCTTGAACCTACAAATTCATGCAGATAAACAGTAGTATTGAATTTATGTTCTTAAATTTTTTTTCTAAAGATTTATTTATTTATTTGAAAGTCAGAGTTACACGGAGAGAGAAGGAGAGGCAGAGAGAGAGAGAGGTCTTCCATCTGCTGGTTCACTCCCCAGTTGGCCACAATGGCTGGAGCTGTGCTGATCCAAAGCCAGGAGCTTCTTCCAGATCTCCCACGTGGAGGCACAGGCCCAAGGATTTGGGCCATCTTCTACTGCTTTCCCAGGCCATAGCAGAGAGCTAGATTGGAAGTGGAGCAGCTGTGTCTCAAACCTGCACCCATATGGGATGCCGGCACTGCAAACAATGACTTAACCCACTATACCACAGTGCTGGCCCTTAAATTTGTTTTTAACACACACAACATAAACAACAGGTTTTTCTAGATAGGACAAGTAATACAATTAATTTCACTTTTTTATTGTTTTTAAAGATTTATTTATTTGAAAGTCAGAGTTACAGAGAGGAAGAGAGAGAGAGTGAGGGAGAGAGAGAGAGTTCTTCCATCCACTGGTTCACTCCCCAGATGGCCACAATAGCCAGGACTGGGCCAAGCCAAAGCCAGGAGCCAAACTTCATCCAGGTCTCCCATCTGGGTGGCAGGGGCCCAAATAGTTGGGCCATCTTCTGCTGCTTTCCCAGGCACATTAGCAGGGAGCTGGATTGGAAGTGGAGCAGCCAGAACACCAACTGGCACCTATATGGGATGCCAGTGTCAGAGGCGGCTGTTTTACCTGCAATGGCACAACTATGGCCCCTAATTTCATATGTATTTGATTAATGTCAATTCCTCCTTGAGGGCAAGGCATACTTTTCTCTTGTTTTCTTTCTTTCCCTGGCATTGAATTCTTGGTGCCTGGCACAGCTCCAGATTCTACAGGTGTGCAATCAACCTTTATTGATAATACATTCTTTCCCACTGATTTGAAATGCCACCTTCCTTGAAAGAATGAGTGACATGGTTTTGACAAGCAGAACATGAATATATTTTTGGTTCTTTCAATGTCTTGTTGCAGTGGGTTTGTCTTTTTTTCTTTTCTTTTTTAGAGGGAGGGAGTGAGTGAGGGAGGGAGTGAGGGGGTGAGGGAGGGAGGGAGAGAGAGAGTAAGGAAGGGGGAGAGAGAGAGAGAGAGAGAGAGAGAAATATGAACCAATGTGCAGTTCCCTCCCCAAATGCCCACTGTTGAATCGGGAGCTGGGAACTCAATCCAGTTCTCTCACATGAGTGGCAGAAACCCAATTACTTGAGTCATCACCATTGCTTCCCAGGGTGTGCGTTAGCAGGAAGCTGGAATCTGGAGCCAGAGTCAGTAATTGAATCTAGGCACTCTGGTGTGCAACACGAGTGTCTTTTTTTTTTTTTTTTTGACAGGCAGAGTGGACAGTGAGAGAGAGAGAGAGACAGAGAGAAAGGTCTTCCTTTGCCGTTGGTTCACCCTCCAATGGCCGCCACGGCCAGCGCGCTGCGGCCGGCACACCGCACTGATCCGAGGCAGGAGCCAGGAGCCAGGTGCTTTTCCTGGTCTCCCATGGGGTGCAGGGCCCAAGGACTTGGGCCATCCTCCACTGCGCTCCCTGGCCACAGCAGAGAGCTGGCCTGGAAGAGGGGCAACCGGGACAGAATCCGGCGCCCCGACTGGGACTAGAACCCGGTGTGCTGGCACCGCAAGGCGGAGGATTAGCCTAGTGAGCCTCAGCGCCGGCCTAACACGAGTGTCTTAACCACTAGAATGGTGGCCACTCTGGCTTTGTCATTTATGAAACAAATGTTTAACCCAACATTTGAGAATAAAGTTGACGTTTTCTCTTTTCTACAAGAGCTCCAAGCAATGTTTAGTGAGCATTTTACCTGGTTATAGTCCAGTGGTTTTCAGACCTCACTGTGTGCCTGTCTTTGTCAGAGCTCTGCGGAGGAGCTATAAGGTGCTTCACAGAACCTTTAGATAGTGCTGGGCCTCCAACACTGGAAGGAACCTGGCCTGGCGTGGCTGGAGTGAAAGCCCGTTCTCTCCACCACTAGACTTGCTGCTGAGTTTTTGTTTCATTCCTCTTTCAGTGAAGACATTCTCTTGTTTTCCAGCCCATATGGGAAAAAATAAAAAAAGCCTTCACCAACAACTCCCAAGTGTACATTGTCTACTGAATTGCAAAAATCTAAAGGCCTGATTGGAAAAGTTGCTGGGAAGGATTTTTGTGTCCATTCAGTGATGGCTGGAGCGGTGGCCTCTTGCATGAGCACAGCTGCCAGATGGCACAGCTACTAACCGCGTTTTGGAGGAATGGGGGCAGCCAACCCAAGGCATTTGCCTTGCAGCATCAGAAACTGCCAGTGCAGCTTTGAAAAATCATCTAGGTGCCTGCGTTCAAGTGTCTGCTTGGGTACCTTAATTTTCACTCCAGGTTCTTTCCCCTCCCAGAGAAAAGTATTCCAAGCAGAGGCATTGTAGGAAAAGGATTTATTAAAGTAAGAAAGAAAACATATGTGTGGGTTTTCCCACACAGAGAACTACCCATCATGAAAGGGCCAGAGGTGCCCAAAGAGAGAGAGAGACAGAGAAAAGCCTGAATTGCACCCCCAAGTGTGGTTAGGGGCAAAAAGAGGTTACCCCCTTAGCCTCTTCTACGAGGCAGAGGGTAGTGCCTTAGCATGTGTGAAGCCATCTGGGAATTTTATGGCATGTCTATGTAGAGTTTAGCAACCATAGTTATCATAGCATCTCCCCTTTTTGATCCTGGATGAAACATGGGGGCTTCTTGGGAGGTGGGTATGTTATACCGACAGGTAAAGAAAGAACACTATATGGCAGGGTTGCAAAAATTCTCGCTCACCTAGATCTAACTAGCTGCCTGCCTATTCATACCATATCAGGTTCCATCCCAGACCCTCTGAATCAGAAACCCTGGTGCATCTACATTAAAAAATTTTAAAAAATGCAACTGGGGCTAATATTTTTTATCCTGGTAAAATGCACATAAGGCACAAGTTACCATTTGTGACATGTAGAACAGTCACAATGTTGTATAGCCATCACTGCTATCTAGGTCCAGGTAATTTTCATTATTTCAAAAGGATACCTTGTACCTGTTTAGCTGTAATTCCCCATTCTTCCCTCTTCCCAACCCCTAGATAGTACTAATCTTTCCTTTTCTATGGATTGGACTTTTCTGGATATTGTATGGATGGAGTCATATATTATGTAACCTTGTGTGGCTGGCATCACTCAGAACAGTGTTTTCAAATTTCAACTGTGTTGTGGCATGCATCAGTGCTTCATTCTTTTTTATGGCTCAAGAATATTTCACTGTGTGGATAAGCCATATTTGTTTATCTACTCATCAGCTGATGGACACTTTAGTTGTTTCTGTCATTTAATTCTTATGAATTGTGCTACTATGAACATCTGTGACTCATTTTTGCTTTAGTTTTTTTTTTTTTTTTGGGTATATACCCCAGGAGTAAAATTATTTTGGGTTCTATGTTAATTTTAGATATCTGCATTTCCTTCCTTCCTTCCTTCCTTCCTTCCTTCCTTCCTTCCTTCCTTCCCCCTTTCCCTTCCTTTCCCTTCCTTTCCCTTCCTTTCCCTTCCTTTCCCTTCCTTTCCCTTCCTTTCCCTTCCTTTCCCTTCCTTTCCCTTCCTTTCCCTTCCTTTCCCTTCCTTTCCCTTCCTTTCCCTTCCTTTCCCTTCCCTTCCCTTCCCTTCCCTTCCCTTCCCTTCCCTTCCCTTCCCTTCCCTTCCCTTCCCTTTTTATGTGAAAGGCAGGGTTGCAGAGATAGAGAGAGAGAAAGAGAGAGAGAGAGAGAGGAGCTATCTTCCATCCAGTGGTTCACTCCCCAAATGGCTGCAATGGTCTGAAGCCAAAGTCAGAATCCCAGAACACCATCAGCTCTGCCTGAGGATGCAGGGGCCCAAACTTAGGTCTTTGTCTGCTGCTTTCCCTCAGGGAGCTGGATTAGAAGTGCAGTAGCCAGGACTCAAACTGATGCCCACATGGGATGCTGGCATTGCAGGTCCCTGCATCTCCAATGATTCTGAGTTTATCTTACTTTGTAGTCAAAGTCTGAGTTACATGATTATGTTCAGTTGTTCTAACCTCAGGCTATAGTTGGGATGGAGATTAAAATAATGGACTGTGGCTGGCGCCGCGGCTCACTAGGCTAATCCTCTGCCTAGTGGCGCCGGCACACCGGGTTCTAGTCCCGGTCGGGGCACCGGATTCTGTCCCGGTTGCCCCTCTTCCAGGCCAGCTCTCTGCTGTGGCCAGGGAGTGCAGTGGAGGATGGCCCAAGTACTTGGGCCCTGCACCCTATGGGAGACCAGGAGAAGCACCTGGCTCCTGCCATCGGATCAGTGCGGTGTGCCGGCCGCAGCGCGCTGGCCGTGGCGGCCATTGGAGGGTGAACCAATGGCAAAGGAAGACCTTTCTTTCTGTCTCTCTCTCTCACTGTCCACTCTGTCTGTCAAAAAAAAAAAAAAAAAAAATCATGGACTGTGGGTCTGCCAGCCATAGATTCAAATCCTGATTCTGTTGTATGAACTTGTAGGCAAATGGTTAACCTTTCAAATCCAATTTCCCATTTTTAAATGAGAGCACTGTTTTGCCCACTTTGTAGGGATGGTGTGATTGCTTTTAGTGCATTTATTTAACGTGCCTTGTATAAAATCAACCTAACAGGCTCTTGGGCTGTAGAGAATATGATTATCTTTATTCTTTCAAAAGCCAAAGCATCTCATTATTTGAAGAAGAGGGCAGGGCCTAAGCTTAACCTCAGACCCTCAAACTCTTCTGAGTAATGTGGCTGTTTTGTTGCCTTTGTCTGTAGAATATGCTTAAGGCGATCAGTGCCACCCAGAAGCAGACGGACCTGGTGAAGCTCCATGAGCAAGCCAAGAGGAATCTGGAGGAAGAAATCCAGAACTACAAGAGCGAGGCTCAGAAGCAGAGAAAGATTATCTTTCAGCTGGAAAAGGAGCGAGATCGGTACATCAACGAAGCCAGTGACCTCACTCAAAAGGTAGGCGGCTCCGAGAGATGGGTGGAGCCCAGGCGTGTTCTTGCCTGTGCTTTTATGGTGGTCACGACTGTTGCCAACATGGCCTGTTTAGATTTCTGCTTGTGCTTTACCTGTAGATTTAAGAGGAACGATGTGGGTAGAATGAAAGCTGTCCCAGGTTGATGCTGGGCCATGTGTTGAAATGGACAAGGGTTGTGGTGGATGTTATCTCAGTCCCACATTTGGGCTCCTCTTCCAACTTCGGACTTCCTGGTCTTTTCCACTGCCTACCTGTGCAGTATCCCTGGGTTGGTCTCCTAAGCGCTGCTGCATCCTCTCCTCTCAACCCTCTATTCTCACCTCCCACCTGTTGCTGCAATGCTGGCCTCCCCGGAGCAAGGATTCTAACTAGTTCTTAGGAGAAAAGCACTGAATGAAATGACCTTAAGTTCAGGCATGAGTCCTGCCATCAGTGAGGCATTTCAATATTCAAAGAGCATTTTTGTTTTAACTTGCTGTGAGCCTACCCCTCTACCCGCACTGGTAGACATCACACATGGGGTAGCTGAGTTCTAGTTCCCTACTTTTTGTAAACAGCTCAAGAGAGAGATGAGACAAGGGCATATCTCCAAGGATGGTTTCAGGGTTTGGGCTTTGCTCTTCCCAATGGCTTTAGCACATTGCCTGCATTGAGCACAAGAAGTTCAACTAGTCCTCTCAGCACAATCACTGATAGCACAGAGCAGAGGCGCAGGCATAGGGATAGGGGTTGAGAACGGAGTTTTAGCTAGGAGGCTGAGAAGACAGTTTGGGAGAAAAGACTCCTTGAACCAGTTTTTATTTTCTCCTGGCAAAATGCTGTTAAACAATGTCTTCTATCTCCTCAATGAGATCCATAGTAAATTCTACAGTGTTTTCTGGTGCTTTTGAATTTCTTGGGAAAATTTTACTTATTTTAAAGGCAGAGAGAGAGACATATACAAAGAGAAATTTCTTCCCTCTGGCTCATCATCCAAGTGACTACAATAGCTAGGGGTGGGCCAGGCTGAAGCCAAGAACCCAGAACTCAATCCACGTCTCCCATGTGGGTAGCAGGGACCCAAGTACTTGGGTCATCACCTGCTGTCTCCCAGGGTGTGCATTAGTAGGAATGCTGGAATTGGAAGCAGATCCATGCCTTGAACCCAGGCACTCGGATATGGGATACAGGTGTCACAAGTGGCAGTCTAAGCACATTGCCAAATGCCTGCCCCTGCTTTGTGTGTTGAAGCTTTGTTTTGCTTTAGAAGTGAAATTTCAACAATGATTATGCTAAGGGGAAAGCCAACATTTGAACCACATGCATAACGAGAATGGAAAACAAGCTTCCCTGCTGGGAGACTAACTCAACGCTAAGCAGATCATTACAGAGTAGGTAGAGGAACAGATACACAGATGTTGTATCCCACCGGGGCAGGACGGAGATCCCCCAGTGATTCTCGTGCTTTGCACTGGGAGCCACAGCAGCAGAGCCTGTTTCCCTTCTGACTTCATCATCTCTGGAGCTCCACCAATGGCTTTCCTGACCTGGAAAGTGCTGTGATCAGTTCGGACACTGTTAGTCCCAAGCTTGGACTAGACTAGCACATTTGCTTCTTAGTCATCAGTTGACACTATGACAAATAACCCCCAAATCTCAGCGTTCATGGGTAGATGACGAGTGGTAAAAAGAATGCCGTCACTGATTTTACTTTGTTATGGTTTTTAAATAGGAGAAAAGCCATTTAAATTATGTGCGAATACATTAGAGTTCCACAAAATATGAGACTCCCTCCACTGATTTTAATACAAAACTGCATAGTTTTATTGGCTTCCTAGTAAAGGAGAGGTACCTGTACCAGTTTTGCTGTTTTTCACAGTTTCTGGTGTTTGACTGCCTAAGGTTATATAATGTCTCACTTAAATAATTTAAACACAAGTTCTTAAAATATTACTTATCAGCTACAATTTTTCTGTCTCTTGCTTAGCCTGTGACAGCATGTGTCAGTGGCTGCAGCAGCTTGTGTCACCTCTAGACTTCTCATTGAGGGCATTTATGTCCTTGTGCCCCCTCCACATATTCCTTCCTATCTTTACTTTCCGGTGTCCATACCTGCCCCCACGCCATCCCCACAAACGAAAAGCCTCTGTTTTGCACATCCTATTTATAGGACTAACAGGAAGAGTTGGGGAAGATGCCACAAAAGTAACATTTTTATTTACTTTTTTTTTTATTTGTTTTTTATTTTTTGACAGGCAGAGTGGACAGTGAGAGAGAGAGACAGAGAGAAAGGTCTTCCTTTGCCATTGGTTCACCCTTCAGCGTTTTGCGGCCGGCGCACCGCGATGATCCGATGGCAGGAGCCAGGAGCCAGGTGCTTCTCCTGGTCTCCCATGGGGTGCAGGGCCCAAGCACCTGGGCCATCCTCCACTGCACTCCCTGGCCACAGCAGAGAGCTGGCTTGGGAGAGGGGCAACCGGGACAGAATCTGGCGCCCCGACCGGGACTAGAACCCGGTGTGCTGGCGCCGCAAGGCGGAGGATTAGCCTAGTGAGCCGCGGCGCCAGCCTCATTTACTTCTAAAGTGAGTACACATCATCCCAAGTTCATCCATTTGAGCCAGAAATTTCTTTTGTAAAAATTGAATCTGAGGAAAAATTAGGCATGTGAATATTTTTTTAAAAGAATCTTCTTCAAAACTTAATTTATAATGAAGAGTAGAAATCAGCCTGCAGGGCTGCTGTGACCTTGAGGGGTGTTAATGTGAGTGGAAACTAAGTCTTTGTGAAGGCTGAGATTTGGGGGTTATTTTTTACAGTGTAAACTGATGAAATTAAGAAGCTAATATTAAAAAAAATTTGGTGCACTGCTCTATTTATTTGATATAATGTATGTGGATATTAAATCATGTGTTTGTAAACTATTTTTTAAAATATGGAACACGTTCATAATCTGAATTTGAGACAGACAATGGACAAGTATTTACATAGTTTAACCCCAGTTTTGTCTGTATGCATACAACAAGGATTGGAGGCATACATGGCGGGGTGTGGTTGAGGGGGATTAATTGAGGTTAATATTTGTAAAGTATTTAGAACAATCTTTGATACATACTAAATTTATATAAATGACAAATAAATACATCTGTTGGTAAATAGTCGAACAATTTCCCTTGAAGTGGCATTTGAATGCAGCTACTCTGAACTTCTTGTTAAATGTCAGTAAGGTGTAGGCATAGATGAAGTGATTTCACAGCAACAGACACAGAGAATGACATGAACCTCCTGTTAATATCAAGACAAGAGAAGCCAGCACTGCTCAATGGAGAAAACCACAGGCCTCACTCTTGGTCCCTTTTGTTTGCTTAATGAAAGCAACCACCTGGGAAGAGCCAAGAAGAGGCCTCGGACCCCCCTGCCATATCTTCCCTGACTCAGCGTTGGTATTACCCAAGAGTGGATCAGGTGCCACTGCATGTCCTAGTCAGGGTTCTTCAGAGAGACAGAACAAGCCGGATATAAATCTCCAATGTATAGAAATGTAAAGAGAGGTTTACTCTAAGGAAGTGGCTCATGTGGTCATAGACCCAGGACAGCCAGTGGTGTAACTCGGTATGTCTGGAGTCCTAAGAAGCAGGGGAGCTGCTGGTGTAAATCCCAGTGCCAGGGCAGAAGATGAGATGAGATGTCCCAACTCAAGCAACTAGGAAGGATGCAAAAAGGGAGAATTTCTCCTTCTTCTGCCTTTTGTTCCATTCAGGCCCTCAATGGATTGGGTGATGCCATTGGGCAGGGCCATTTGCTTTCCTGAGTTTGCAGTTCAAATGCTAATCTCATTCAGAGGCTTTCATAGAGACAGACCTAGAAATAATTTGGGCTCCCTGCGTCAGGTTGACACATTATGTTAACATCACACTCTCCCTTCCTAGTACTCAATTGTTTTTGCCCTACTGGTCATAAAAACATGGCAAACTCAGAGCACAATTGAGCAGGTGGCTGGGGAGTTGCTCACGGCCCAGTGCATTCTGAAGAGTGTGACTTAGAAGTGTGATTGGGCACAGAGAACCTACCCTGGCGCTAGGGCATTCTAGGACTTAGGTTTTCCATAAGCTTCATCAGCTCAGAGGAAACGAGAGTGGGCATGGGGTTCCTGTAATACCACCAAATGTTAGAGTACTAGAAATTGGGATGTGGACTGGGACCCTGCCCCCCGCTGTGTTTGCAGCTGTGGATTTGACAGTGGTTTCTACCAGTGTCCCAGGGCACTGAGAATTGAACCAGGGCAAACCCATTCACTTCAGTGGTGTTGCTCTGGGAGCCCCACGGTGAAGGCCTGGCTCTGAAAGCTCACCTATGGTTAGATATTTAGGCTGAACACCCTGAACCAGTCATTTTTATAACAATTGACTATCAATGATTTCATGAGTTTTAACCTAATAGAAGAAAATGCAGAGGAAAGGTTAGCTTTCTTCAAGGAGAATAAATACATTAGACCTGGTGTCAAGGTCCTCTAATGGGAAGAGCAGTCTTTGTCCAATAAAAGATAGCTTGATACTTATATTGGGATGATTTTTAGTGAGTCCTTGTCAAACAGAGCGAAGCACAGTAACATAGGGATGGTAACAGTAATTGGGAAGGGGCGAAGGTGGTGCAGGAAACGGAAAGGAGATGGGCAAGGACGAGAGAGGAGGAAGGACAACGCCAAAATCAGGGAAGTGGGCTGGGCTCTTCTGGAAGGGATGACCAGAGAAGAGTCCCCAGAGGCAAGAAGCATGGGGAATTGCTGAGCACAGGGATGTCCAGCGTTTGGTTTTTTAAGTTCCTCACTGTACTTTGTACCTCACATCTTGAGTACCATCTGTTACTTCAACCCTACACTCATGGTTATGCTCTGTGGGGACTGGCCTGGGTGTGAGAGATGTGATATAATGTCCCAGAAGGGGGACAGCATGTGCAAGAGGCAAGATGCTGAGAGTCCAGAACGCTATGGAAATTGGCACTTG